CAGCCAGACTCAGTAGTCCGTGAAGACATGGGCATGCTCGGAGGTCGGGCTGATCCAACACTCAAGTTGGAAATCCGTGCCGCCTCCAGCTCGCTGCGTGTCCTTGACTGAAGATCTTCCTGAGTTTTGAGCGCTCGTCTGAGTTCGTTCAGCTCGTCGTGCAAGGTCGGCAATGCCTGCCTCGCCTGATCTTCATTCTGTTGAAGCTGATCTTCTGCATCTTGCATCCTCTTCACCGCCATTTTGCGATACTCTTCCTCTTCACCAAGCCGTTCGCGTAGTCGAAGACGTTCTTGGTCAAGTGCTGTGTTGTTTCCAGCCAACCCCTGAATGTCATTCATAACTCGCAACTCCTGGTTCCTGGCTAGAAGGAATCGTTCCTGCATGGCCTGCACGGCTTGTTCGGGACTTGCCGTGCTTGATCGGAGGAATAAGTTCTCTCTGGCTTGCTCATGAAGCTCATGTGTCAGATGCTCATACTCGCGTGCCATGAGTTCTCCGTCGCCTTGAGCTCGACTTTCCAGTTGCACGAAGTCTGTGGCTGCTTCTGTTCGAAACATGTGAAGCTGTTGAGCAAGTTCTTCGGCAACGGCGTGTCCTCGACGCTGTTGAGCAGAGCTCTGTTCATCCATTCGGAACAACGCTGCTTCATAATCTCTTTTCATCTCCAGATTGACATTGTTGATGTGCCGCATGGCCATGCATGCGTGATCACGTTGTCGTTCCAATTCTTCAATGCGAAGTCCAGATCCTTCATCTTCTTGTTGCATCTCCTTGATCTTTTCCATCAGGGTTTTCACGACACCCTCGTACTCTTGCACTTGGCTTCTGTAGTACATCTGCTGAGCAAGATTCGAAGCTTCAAGCTGTTGTCGCATCTCCTGATAGACAATCGAACCATCGGCTATGGCCGGGGTGGCAGCCGATGAAGCGTCACCTTGCACCGGTATGGTATCAAGGGTCATGTCCGCATCGTCAGCCTCGTGGGGATGGTTGGTAACCATCTTTCTCCATGTCATGGATCTGTCTCGCCCCCTGGTAACTGAAGTCCTAGATCGTGCCGAAGAGTTTCTTGAAGATGCTGGCTTAGACTTCTTCTCCATTGTAATTACTCCTCTGTCCTTTGTTCTCGACGGAGTCCTTGGCACCTGAAAACCAGACGCTTCGGATCGTCGTTCTGTACCTTTGCCACAGTCCTTGATCCTGAGGATGTTGGACGCAATGGTGTAGATGCTCTTGGTGAGTTATTTGCTTTTGCTTTGGGAACTGCCTTTGCGATGGCAAGCGCCGAGGGTTGACCTTTGTCATCCTCTGTGGAGCTGTCAACGGATTGCACCACAGTGTCATCTGCAGTCGAGTCACCGACTGCCGGCGCTGCCACGTCGGCACCGAAAGTCATTGTCGTATCCTGACTTGATCCCGAGTTCATTGTGGAAGTGGTAGATCAAGTAGTTCTCGTTGTAGAAAGGCAGAGCCGCGTACGGCTGATAACCTGCGTGGGGATTTGATCTTGATGTTGCCCTTGTTGCTCACCCCACAGAGCTGTATTGTATAATGGCGTGGTTGCCCTCTACGAACTCGATCACTCTCTCTTTCCCCTTCTCTCACACAAGCCACACTTCCCTTGCAGGCAGATCCGGAGCTCGCTTGTTTTGCACTCTCGCGGCCAGCGATGGATCGTCTGTGCACGGGATGGCTCTGTTCCTCGGAAGGTCACAGAAGACGAATAGCTTTTAGCTATGGGCAATGCTTTCTAGAGCATGTGCTCACACTTGAGCCAAAGTTGCGTGGGCGGAAAGCATACAGGAAGGTTTGGCATTGCGGTGTGCGTAGCACTTCCACGAGCCTCAACCTAGAGACGAAGGACGCGTAGCGTGCCTTCTCTCTTGTCCTATACATCACATTGCTCACAGCTCTTATCGTGACACCATAGAACTTGACTAGGCATCGCAGTCCGTTCGCAAGTAATAGTAATAATAGTAGTAGTAGTAGCAGTAGCAGTAGTAGTAGTAGTAGTAGTAGTAGTAGTACGAGTAGTAGTAGTACTAGTAGTAGTAGTAGTAGTAGTAGTAGTAGTAGTAGTAGTAGTAGTACTAGTAGTAGTAGTAGTAGTACTACTACTACTACTACTACTACTACTACTACTAGTACTGGTACTAGTACTGGTACTAGTACTAGTAGTAGTAGTAGCAGCAGTAGTAGTAGTAGTAGTGGTAGTGGTAGTGGCAGTGGTAGTGGTAGTGGTAGTAGTAGTAGTAGTAGTAGTAGTAGTAGTTGTTGTTGTACTAATAGTATAGTTAAATCATGGCGAAGCGTAGGGCCAGGTGCCAGCTCTGCAGTGAACGCCTTTAACCGAGGCCCACCAGGGGGAGAGGAAAAAAAAAAGGCAAAGAAAAAAAAAATATCAAAAAAAATAGGGTCCCCTCCTTCCTGCCTTCCTTCCTGTCTGCCTGCCTGCCTTCCTTCCTTGCTGCCTTGCTTCCTTCCTTGCTTCCTGCCTTCATTCCTTCCTTTCTTCCTTCCTTCCTTCCTTCCTGCCTTCCTTCCTGTCTGCCTGCCTGCCTTCCTTCCTTGCTGCCTTGCTTCCTTCCTTGCTTCCTGCCTTCCTTCCTTCATTCCTTCCTTCCTTCCTCGCCCTTTCTCCCCGCCTTCCTTCCTTCCTTCCTTCCTTCCTTCCTGCCTTCCCTCCTGCCATCCTTCCTTGCTGCCTTTCTTCCTGCCTTCCCTCCTTCCTTCCTTCCTTCCTGTCGTGCTTCCTTTAATAAGGGAAAGTTTTTTTTGATTGGAAAAAATTTTGATTGAAAAAAAATTGATTGAAAAAAAGTTTTTTTTTGATTGGCATCCCGCGCTGCGCAGCAGCCCAACAAATCGTAAAGCAGCGCTGCTGCTTCCAAGAGCACCCAGGTCCATACCGCGTCCAACCCAAGCCACACCAGGACACAAAGCATCAAAACCATACTCTGAAAAGGGATGGACTGTGGGCCCCAACCACCCCATTTATTTTAATGCTGCCGCCTTCTTCTTTCTTTTCCTGCTCCTGGCCTCCTTAGCGGCCCAGGCTGAAGAGCAAGGCCAGAAGCTCGTAGGCCGTCATGACAGGACGCTCGAAGGGAGGGCAGAGTACCAGTACCTCAACGTCACTCCTGGTCCGTCTTGGCCTGGCCCCATCAACCATGAAAAGGAGGGCGTTGGCGTCGACCACCCTGGGCACCAGGCCCACTACACGAGAGCTCTCACCCGCCAGCGACGGAGTCCCTTCCTGCCTGCCAGTGCCTTCTGGAGTGCGAGCCTCGCCCCAACGCAGCCCAAAAGACCAAGGTCGGCAAAGCCACGCTCCTCCTCCTCCGTTTGCAACCGTCAGCACCTCCACCCCTTCGTGATGCCCGGCTCGTGTCCACAGGGCCGGACGGCGTCCAGCGCACGTGGGAGAACGATCCTTCCGTCGCACCGCACCGTTGACACCCACGACGAAGGCCTTCACGAGGGCGGCGGTCCTGGTGCCAACGGCTCCGGGCCAACATGCCGAGCCGTTCCATGTGGCCCGCCCTGACCAGGTGCTCCAGTTCCTTCTGAGGCATAATCGAAAAAAGCGAACTGTGCTTACTCCCAACCATGCTGGGACATCTTGCTCCTGGGTCGTGGGCAAGGAGCCCGTGCTGCCAACCCGTACCGAACCTCTGGGCCCACTGGCTGGTCGCAGCAGGTTACCGACCTCAGCCCATCTTGTGACCTTTTTGAGAGAATCTGCGGGCGTGCGCATGCCCCTTACAAGCGTTGTTCTCCTGCTCCCTCGCCTCCTTCTTCGAAAGGGGTGCAGGAAGTGGCGTCATCCGGGCCTTGTTTGCTCCGTCGGAGCCGTGGCGCCCGATCCCTTGTTGGGGTCCCGGCAGCCTCCGTTGCCTCGGCCAAGGAGGTGTGCCAGACCTCATGGCCTTCTGCCTCGTTCCCTTCTTAATGGAAACCCTTTTCCACGGCCTGCCAAGCTGGAATCTCGGCTCCAGCCCGTGGTCGCGATCCTCCTGGACAAGTGCCACGTGGGGGTAGGGGACCAAGTCCCGGACCCTGCTCCAGCGCGCTCTGGGTTACACATTGCCCGCCGAGTCCTGGGCCTTGAAATGCCTCGAACATCAAGCGAATTCCAGGACGCCGGCCGGGAGTCGTAGTTGGGGGGTCCGGGACCCTCCACCGTCCAAAAACTCTTGTCTGGCTGGAGGATGTGGTTTTTGAACTTTCTTTCAGGCTCTTGGCGAAGCGGTGCGGGAAATTAACAACGAGGGCAAAGTCGGCTATAGGGAGACAAACCCAAGTCCAGCACACTGACTTTAAACGCAGAGACTTGGTCGGGCGACGGCTCGGTCTCCGGTCTCACCGGAACTCTGCCTCGTCGGCCTGGTCCAGAACGCTGTTGGCCGGGTCCGCCGAGGCCGGACAACAACGGCCGGTGCGGCAGGGGGGCACATAACCAGGATCACCTGCTGTGCCGACGGCGGTCGTGGCGACGCGCGCGATGTTGACCGCCGTTCGCAAGTCCACAAACTGGGAACGGTTCCCAAGGCACCGTCAACGGCCGCCCACACGTTGCCCTCAAGCCCCACCCAGGTGAGAGCTGGGCCACGGTGGTGATGCCATTGAGATGGTCCTGCGTAGGCACGTCAACGCCGGCCATGGCCTGTGAAAACGGATCTTTTCCTTGGCCCGCACCCGCCGGACCAGGACCAATAGCCCAGGTGGTTCCGGGACCCCTCGAGCCACACACCCCGGCTGTTATGATTAGCACTGCGTGCAATTGCACTTCAATTCCTTTAGCTACTTATGCGATGCTTCTACCTCTCCAATCAAGTACTGAGCAGCTTTCCGCGAAGATGCCTTGCGTGGCCCTTTCAATTCGATTGAAACAGTGACAGAACCATTTGTGCACGAACTGCCACTGGTGAGCGGTGAGCCGTGCGGCTGCATGGGAATCATCTGACAGCCAACTAATGACATTGGAGAACTCGTGCCTGCTCCTTGTCGTGGACAAAGATGCTCTTCCGATTGTCACTCGCGCTGCCGTTTTGCAGCTTGGCGAAAACTTCGAGCAACATCTTGTGGATCTCCTCATGCAGGAACATGGCAAAGCAAGTTCTGAACACAAAATTGGTCGAGCATCTGCGAAATACATAGCAAGGACGCACTTAGGGTTACATGTGTCCGCCTTCGGGTGATGTGAGACTAAACCAAACTAAACAGCCGGCATACCGCATCCACATGAAGCAGCAAAACACTTGCAGCGCGGAACATGGCTTCGAGTGGCTTCGGAGCGCCTGAACTTCCTGCTTCCGGGCGCCTCGCTCCTCCTTCAGTAGGCAGGCAATAAACCATCAATAAACCAGACACACATGAACAACAACGCGTCCTCAATCATTGCCAGCAAAGCATCGCACCTTGCATCTGCAATTTCCTTATTGCCAGTGTAGTGCTGTCAGCACCAGGAGATGCACGTTCCGATAAGCTCGGAAATGGCACGACATGAACTGACATGACATGCACACACGCACACACCAGCTGCTTGCGATCAATAGTCTCCTGGTGTGAAGGACATCACCTTGTCGCAGTCAAACGTTCAGGTGTGATTAGCAGGATCAGCTACCACTACGACCGTCAAAAGATAGATCATACTACATCAAGCTACAGAGTTGTCCGTCACCATCCGCCGCATGCCAGCATCTGAGGCTGGCATAGCCACAGCCATAGCTCGATTGAAGCGCTTCAGCTGCTGGCCTTGAGAATCCTTCAGAGTCTTCACCACCGGGCGAGCATCCCTTACCCCTTACCCAGTGTCGCCAAATACCACGGCACTACCATCCAAGAGTGCCAGAAATACTGACTCGAAGAATTACCCGTGCCAATCGCGAAAAAAGCTGCAATGTCCCAACAGTAGGCGTGTTTTTAGACGCTGCTTGCTGTCAGAGCACAACTTTGGGGTGCAATCCCGCTTGACGCTTGTCGGATCACTCTAGAGGCAGAACCTCTAGGAGAGCGCAGTAGCATTAGCAATGTTCTGCGAAGCAGCTAGCAATGCCAGTGGCAAACGACTTCCCCCGCTGACATTCAAGTTGGCTTTGCTTACACACCGACCCGAGGCACGCAGCTGGATCAGACAGGGTATGGTCGGCGGGAGGAGTTCATGGCAGAGAGTCAGGTCCGTTGAAAGATTAAGACAAGGGCTTTGCTCTACGAGCCATGTGAACTCCAGAGTTTCATGCTTTAGTTGCTTGTCCTCGATATCATACTGATATTCATGCAACGGAACTGGCAGTGTGGGGTACATTATGTTGGTGAACTTGCGCTCAGAAGTTCGTCTTCCAGCTTGTTCTCGCTGTTCTCTGGGCCCCGCCTTATCGCATGACATCGGAACTTCTGATGAGTTCGACTGTCGACGGCTCACAAGTCTAGTCTATAGAGTTCACACCCTTCCCATGCCGAAGTAAGGACCCAGCTTGGGAGGGTCCAGCTCTATCTTTCGGATACCTGAAGACGGTCCGAACTTGAATGAAGAAGGGAATCTGCACAAGAAGCCCGTTGTGCAAAAGCGCGGCGTAACACAGATTGCCTGTTGCAGAGGCCGCTCCATCCACTTCCGAAGACACCGCTCCTGCCAAAAAGCTTCCCTATGTTCATACATCTACTGCTTGATGCTGATAAGACTGTTGGTCCGAAACACTTACTTACACCAATGAAATAAACTCACGCTGCTACTGCTTGCCGTGATCATGAGCCTCGGAGCGGACCGGCCTACTCCAATCCTTGCCACGAGATTTTCGGATGTACGAACCCTCGCAGGGGTGAGGGATCTACAACAGTGCACACGATTTCAGCAAAATCCGGCGTCTGTCTGCTTTGCAATAGTGCAAACCTGTGCTGTCTCAGAACTTCATATGCCAAGACTAGCATTCAGGAATCTTGCTCTCATCCGGCGCTGATACAGTATTGACCATGGTTTGCGCAGCCTCACTTGGCAATCATAATGCAACTGTTCGCTTTGTATTCAGCTTCATGTGATTCGCGTGCTCTAGACATCGACATGCGTAACATCTGTCTGTGCTGCTAAGGCGAGTATTTGAAAAGGAAGGGGTCGAACACAACACATAGCCTATATACATATATCTATATATACATATACACACACCCACACACGTGCTACGCCACCAACGCTGCAGCGCGCGAATTCACCCGATGGGCTCTCACCGACGGCTCAGAAGACCGGCTCGCCATGCGACGAGACGATCGGACGGAGGTCGCCTCGCCGCAGAAGGCCAGGCCGTGGGGCCTCGTGGGGCCACGTGGGGGGCCATGAGGCCGAGCCAAAACCGCCTTGGACCAAGGCCGTGGGGGGCCGTGTGGGGGAGGCCTTCTGAGGCCTTCTGTCGAATGGACTGTCGCATTCAGTACCACTGCTTCGCGTGGCCATGTGCACAGGGCAGGAAGCTCCTGCGGGGGTGCCGAATTCGCGCCGTTGAAGCCGTCGAAGGCCACGAAGGGCAGAATGTTGCAAAATGCTGAAAACGTGGCACTAGCAGAAAAGCTTGGCCATCCACCCGAGTGCTACAGAAGCGTGGCATGTGTCCAGTCGCGCACAACTTTGTTTGAAGAACAAACCTTTAAAGGAACTCCTTAAACGAAGAAGTCCGCAGCTGCGAAAGCGCGCACACACAAAGACACAACTTTAGCAGACCTATTTACAAATCCAGAATGAAGTTTGCCGCACTGTCCGTCGGTGCCTGGGACATGTGGACTGGGAAGTTTGGATCGAAGGTCCTTGCCAACGCCATGCAACTTACCGAAACACTGACACTAGATGTTAAATGTTCTAAAACGAACACCCGTGTCCTTCGCCAGGCCAAACTTGTATCCCAATCCTGTCAGGGTCCTTGGCGCGCAGTTCCGAACACAGTGGCTGTTTCCGAGCATACATTGCTGAATCTGCCTGGAAGCTATGGACATGATCATGCCTCATAATGACCAGTCTCACTGTCAGCTACACCTTCACCTTCAGCTGAAAGTGCACAGTCGCCATGACCATGTGACAACAAAACAAGTGGCAATCATGATTACCCTCCTCCTCATCATCAGCACTGCCACCATCATCACCACCACCGGGATGTAGTCTATCACAGGCACCAATTCCGCTGCCGACGATTACTTTGGTCATGACCACCACCAGCACAATCATGGCAGCTATGGACATGTGGCTGGCGCACCAGGCATGACTGTCATCATGGTCACCGTGACCATGGCAGCTGCTGTGGCCAGCGACTAGGACAGCCATCATCCGCAACCATCATCAGCATCAGCGGCGAGACGGCAAAAGAGTAGGATGAACGTCGGATGTCGCCATCATCATCATCATCATCGTCATCATCAGCTTCATCATCATCACCCGCACAGCATCATATTGTTGCTGTCATCAGCGGCCCCAATCACCACGACGACCACCAACAATAACACCAACACCAATACAAGCACCAACAACACTCACAACTCCAACAACTCCAACCACACCAACAACACCAACATCAACAATATCAACAACAATACCAGCGACACCAGCGACACCAACGACACCGACGACAACAACGACACCAGCAGATCAACCACTGCTCTCCAGTTTAAACTCGTAGAGATTTGGTCCCTGTGATCCGTGCTGTTGGCGTCTCTTCGGTAGTTCCAGGACCTGCATGTCCAAGCGCTCCAACTCGTGAACCTGACCAGCACAATTGTCTATGAGTCGATGTGAGGAGAGACTCCGAACTCCACGTAACGGCGACAAGGGAGGGCAATAGAATTGAGTTGTGTGGTCCGATAAAATGCTGTCACATGCCTGTCTGAGCTGCTGAATGTACAGCTTGACTTCCTCCAAGCCCGACAGGCTCGAGTTCGCTGTGCACCTGCACGCGAACAAAAAATCGAGCATGGCTTTAGGGCTCAACGAGCAAGGCAGTACAGTACAAAGAAAAGCTCTGCAGTTTCTATCGAAGAACATTGGCAGATGCTGCATGCTGGCATGTGCCACACCCTGCAAGTGAGATGCTGTAATAGGAACATATTGAAGAACAAGGAGGCAGATCGCTGGCCCGAGTGCTAAAAGTCAGAACATGTCGTCAAGGCTAGCAAAGAAAATACGCAGTGTGACCTGGCAGCATTGCCGCCTTGGCCTCAGCGCGGCAAAGCAGTACTTGCAACACGGGGTGTGCGAAGCATCAAGTCACAGACTTCCTCCCAAGTGCCCGGCCCATGCAGATCTGGCTCAGGCGACTGCAGCAGACGCAGCAACGTTGCTGCAACGTTTGCATACTGGTCTGCGAAAACGGATGTGCTCGACAGCTTTGCCTCAGCACCAGCACCTGCTTCTCATGTAACCCAAGAAGCTCCTGCGCGGTTCTTTAACTGATCTCACACAGGAACGAGCATACCCGGGCGCCAAAACAATTCCGCTTTTTCGGAAACCTGCTGCTCGCGTGCATCTCACAGCTCTGATGAAGCTTGTCCGCCCATCATGCCGGTCATTCCTTTCAGGGTGTTGCCTCGGCACTAGAGCTTCGGTGGCGCTTTGGAGCGAGGTCTGCAGGCGAGTCACCAAGCTGCTGGAAGTAAGCTTGCGCCTCTTTTCCTAAGTATAGTTCAAGATTCACTCTCGAAGGTGACGGCGGGGAAGAAACAGAACATCGGGTACCACTGAGGCATGCTGAGCATCTGGTGACCTGCTCGTCGCCATTTTTGTCCATCTGCTTGAACATGTCCTGCAAGAGTTTGCGTTTCCCAGCCCTGAATGAAGCTTTGCAAGTCGGAGTGGGCCTTTGCTTTTTGGAGTGTGTCTCCATCAGCACCCGGCGGCGCCGAGACACTGGCAATCTCTGTCTCAGTGAGGATTCCGTCTCCATCCTGTCTCGGGGCCAGGTGTTGGTCGAAGGCTGAGAGAACGTACAGTCGTCGGCGACGTCGGTGGTGTGTGGGCAAGCATTCTCGAATCCAAGATTCAAGCGTTCTCGAATAGACAGCAGAGTCGGATCGCTCGACACTGCAAGGGGTGAGGAAGCTTTGCTATCTTGCTGGAGCAAGTATCCGCTACCCGCCTGAAACTAATAGTCTTTGTCTCTGTAGCGGCCTTGTCCATCGCGTTCACCATCAAGTCTGCCATGGAGTTGCCTGTTCAGGATCTGAATCCCACCGAACAGACACTCACAGGGGCTCCACATGACTTCTTGATCTCCAAAGCTCTCTGAAAGAAAGTCCTGCGCTTCCCGCCTAAAGTGGTCGGGTCCAGACTGTTCAGCGCCGACGCGGCTGCTTGCGGATCATCTGCAGGCTCTCTTTTGCGAGCACTATCAATGCAGAAAAGCGGACGGTCAGAAAGTAAGGCCCTCACTTTCTGTACCTTTGAATTTGTCTGCAAACGCTTGCAAGTCCTCCATGCTGCTTCCTTCGCCGTGCTTCAACCGCGACACAGCAAGCCAACTGGTCATGATAATACACCTGCAATCGAGCGGGCAGAAACTTCTGTGCAAGTAAAGAGATATACATTTGGAAAGAGAGTGAGAGAGCAAGAGAACTCGTCCTGAACCCTTCCCCGTCTTCGGCGCCGCTAGCACTGCTTGAAGCCACGCCAAGGCCGAGAGTCCTGGAAGCACGCGGCCCCGGACTCTCCCTCTCTGGCCACTCGCTTGCCGGAAAGTCGCTTGCACCACTTGCACTGAAAGGAAGACAAAACAATGCAAACACGACTTTGGCCATCCACCAACCACAAGTGCCAGTATATGACAGTAGGACATAGTAAGAGCAGCAACCAACACGCATCAACACCAGCACAAAAAGCTGTACCGCCTCCGAACAAACATCGTCCAGCTCTGTACTCTTGCACAGTCTAACATACCGTACCGCTTTTCCCAGGCTTTGCACAGCGAACAACGATAGTGCCTGATCGGCTCATTGATCAGTTGTCGACCGCACGGCTTGCCGTGTTCGATACGAACTTCATACCCGCAAGGCGATGCAATGTTGGAACATGCTCGCAACACAAAGCAAAAATTCTCGGCGTAGCAATGATAGAGCAGCACAAAGCGAGCACCCAACAGTCGATGATCGTCTTTTGAGGGCGATAAACGCTTTAAGTTGGATGACGACGGTATATGCATGGCACCTGAGTTGGCGTCCCGACATGCTGTAACACCTCGTAAGCATCTACCAGAGGCAAGACTGAAACTGGAATCACAACGAACCTAGAAAACGATCAATGACCAAAATACCGCCTTCGAAGCAATATCTCAGAAAACAGAACGATGGGAATCGCACATGCGACGCCTCCGTTCAGTTGAAAAGCGCGACCACAAGCGATTGCCATTGACAGCAAAGAAGAAAGTGTGCTCATCGGAACTCGTTGAGGCAGCGCAGTTCACAACGCACAGAAGCACGAACTGCGACGAGCCTCGTACTGCGGCCCGCATGCTAAAGACCAAGCTCACAGACCTTCAAGCATCACACCAATGGCACGAGATCGCAATCGCAACAGACTCTAGAGTTTAGAGATTCCCTGGCCTGCGTGACAGGGGAGAAGCGTTCACTTGGTGCTGCTGAAGCCCTGCTCTGGTTCTCTTGACTGCTCACTTTGCCCACGAAGTTGTGTGCCGCGTGTGAGAACCAAATTTGCTCGAGCCAAGTTTTGCGCAAAACATCGCTGCAGCTGCCTCTCCCAATGCAGGCACCGGTCACCACTCCCCTCCACCATGCCCATCCGCTCCTCGATGCGCTCGTCCGGAGAGCCACGGCTGCTGCTCCGACTCCCACCGCGACCTCTGAGCAAAGGAGCGAGCAGAGAGCAAAGTGCGCAGCGAGCAGAGCTTTCTCCAAGCAAACAGAACACAGGCACAAAACCGGTGCTTCACACTTTCAGGCTTTCGAACTACCACGGACCACGACTCGGAGCTGACCAAGGTCCCAGGGGCGGCTTTCCGTCCGCACCGAAAGGGAGCCGCTGCTCCTTGGCCAAAGAAGGCTTTGCAAAAACGACGACCGACGATATGCCAACAGTTCTCTTCCAAAGAGTCCTTAGATGATGTCTTCGAGGCTTCACGCTTTCAAGGCGCATGGGATCACAATACCAGTACATTCCACTGCATATTACTGAGCTCGGGCCTTGGCGCAAGGCAAGTGTTGCAACGGGTGGTGGACCGCACTAGACCCGTAAGCCGATGCTCTGCACCCGACTTGCTACAGGCAGCCCAAACCAGCCCAAATGCACCGTAGATGGTAAAGCAAATCGAACCATTGCCACAGCCTGTGAGACGCTCTCCTCCCCAAACCCAGTCGGGGTCCGAGCGCATTGATGCCGTTGATGCTGTTCCGTGACCGGGAACCGGAACGGATGGCTTCGTAGCTGAGCTTGCTCCTGCGACAGCTGGCTAGGAAGCAAAGAAGAAGACTGGCAAGGCGTAAAAACAAAGCGGAACCGACGGACAAAAGCGAGATGCATACGCAAGGAGGAAACAATGAAAGTGCGATAAGGGGATACAGCATAGCAAAAATTACCTGTGAAACCGTGTTACACAGTTAAGGAAAACAGAAACGAGCATCAGATCCAGCACGGGCAAAACGCTTCCAATGAAGACTTCCTCCTGACAATAGCGTTCCAAGATCTGCACTTGTCTTTCGTGCTTTTGGTGGCTCTGTCGGTGAGTTCATGCTGTTTTGCTGTGTTTCTCAGCTGTATTTGAAAGCGCACGCACTTGTCACTTTCTGTTTTTACTCCATGTGTATGCTTGCTGTCTGTGTGTGTGTGTGTGTGTGTGTGTGTGTGTGTGTGTGTGTGTGTGTGTGTGTGTGTGTGTGTGTGTGTGTGTGTGTGTGTGTGTGTGTGTGTGTGTGTGTGTGTGTGTGTGTGTGTGGTGTGTGTGTGTGTGTGTGTGTGTGTGTGTGTGTGTGTGTGTGTGTGTGTGTGTGTGTGTGTGTGTGTGTGTGTGTGTGTGTGTGTGTGTGTGTGTGTGTGTGTGTGTGTGTGTGTGTGTGTGTGTGTGTGTGTGTGTGTGTGTGTGTGTGTGTGTGTGTGTGTGTGTGTGTGTGTGTGTGTGTGTGTGTGTGTGTGTGTGTGTGTGGTGTGTGTGTGTGTGTGTGTGTGTGTGTGTGTGTGTGTGTGTGGTGTGTGTGTGGTTGGTGTGTGTGTGTATGTGTGTCTGTGTGTCTGTGTGTAGTGGGTCGTGTGTCTGTCTGTGTTGTCTCTGTGTCTGGGTCTGTGTCTGTGTCTGTGTCTGTGTCTGTGTAGTGTCTGTGTCTGTGGTCTGTGGTCTGTGTGTTCTGTGTCGTGTGTGTCTGTGTGTCTGTCTGTGTGTCTGTGTGTGTATGTGTGTCTGGTGTGTGTGGTGTTGTGTGTCTGTGTGTCTGTGTGTCTGTGTGTCTGTGTGTCTGTGGGTCTGTGTGTGTGTGTGTGTCTGTCTGTCTGTGTGTCTGTGTGGCTGTGTGTGTGTGTCTGTGTGTGTGTGTCTGTGTGTCTGTCTGTGTGTGTGTCGGTGTGTGTGTGTGTGTGTGTCTGTGTGTCTGTCTGTGTGTCTGTCTGTGTGTCTGTCTGTGTGTCTGTCTGTGTGTCTGTCTGTCTGTCTGTGTGTCTGTCTGTGTGTCTGTCTGTGTGTCTGTCTGTGTGTCTATCTGTGTGTCTGTCTGTGTGTCTGTCTGTGTGTCTGTCTGTGTGTCTGTGTCTGTGTGTCTGTGTCTGTGTGTCTCTGTCTGTGTGTCTCTGTCTGTGTGTCTCTGTCTGTGTGTCTCTGTCTGTGTGTCTCAGTGTGAGTGTCTGTGTGTGTGTCTGTTTGTGTGTCTGTGTGTGTGCCTGTGTGTGTCTGTGTGTCTGTGTGTGTGTGTGTCTCTGTGTGTGTGTGTGTGTGTCTCTGCTTGTGTGTCTGTGTGTGTGTGTGTCTCTGTGTGTGTCTCTGTGTGTGTGTCTCTGTGTGTGTCTCTGTGTGTGTCCTGTGTGTGTGTGTGTCTGTCTGTTGTGTCTGTCTGTGT